CCGCCGGACTGCCCTTGGCCCTGTTGCCTCACCGCGATCGGGAGAGGCTGTTGCGTTCGCTGTATTTCACCCTCTCCCCCTAAATCCAATTTCTTTTAGGCTGAATGAGTCTCATTTTATTCTCCCATCTCTTTTTTTTTTGTTTGTTTTTTGTTTTTTTGTTTTGCAGTCGTGGAGGTGACTGAAGGCAACACGACCACAGTAAGTCCTTGCACCCCTTTCCCTCAGTAGCTGCCCTTGCCGTTGCTTCTCTCTGCTTCAGCCTCCCGTTGTGTGTGTGTATGTGTCCGTGTCTGCCCCCAAAGGAGAAAGAAAAAAAAAATGGTGAAAGAGTTGCTTTTCTGCCTGAAAGATATCCCAGGGTGTGAAGGCAAAATCAAGGTAGGAGTGTGTTGCGAGTGCGGGTAAGCCAGATGGAGGGTTTGGCTGCCCAAGGTCGGGAGCATCACCCAGTTGCTGGTGACGGGTAGCTCCAGTCAGAGCCACCCCTGAGCACCAAACCCCTCACTGCACCCCTGGTGAAGTTGGAGGCCCTGACTAGAGGCATTTGGGACCCAAAATGCAAGAGGCGGCTCTTCAGATGGGTTTGTTTCTTAAGGTAGTGACACTTGGCTTCATCTTGAGTGTGGGCAGGCACAAAGGGGGTTTGCCCAGTGGCTTTGTCACTTTGCCCTGGGCTGGCAACAGGATGTGGCATTGCAGGATGGCTCTGTATCAGCTGCGTGCCACACATGTCGCTTTCCTTCGATCTGTGTTGTGTTTGTTAATCACTGTGTGTGCCATAGTGACTGCAGGTGATACAAAGCTTGCATCTTGTAACGCGTTTGGTAGGAAAAAAAGTTCTTTGAAAGGGCTATTATCAAAGATGACTGTAAATACTAAAGGAAAACTGCTCCTGAAAATAAAACAGAAGTTCTGAAATAACTGATAAAGAGCATTTTCTCAGCTATGGTTTAAGACAGGAAGGAAAAGACCAAAGCAGTAGAATTAGAATTTTACTGAATTAACGCCATCTGATCTGTTGCGCTTTATCAAGATAATTGTCGTTTTTTTAGAAGAAACGCTGAAATTACTTGGGGGAGGGGGAGGAGATTGCTACTGGCATATGTAATGTGAGCAGAATAATGCATTCTATGCCTTGGCTGGAGATAGATAGCACAGATTTTTTTTTTAATGTGTAAATACAGTGAGGAGAGTGGAGAAGAAATTATTTGGGAATAGCTAGAAGACAGTGCACTAAATGCTAATGTATATATACCTAAATAACAAGGAGAGGACAGACTTTTTTGTTTGCTAATGAAACAGACAGAACCTGGTTGTATGTGCCTTTGAAAGTCTGAGTTTCCTTGTTGTCATGTTTGTATTAGTGAACACTGTCATATTTGAGACTTGAATGGAGCAGGTTACTTATATTTTAGATATGTAATATCAAATAGAATATGGCAGTTAGCAAGATCTCTTAAAGACTGTCAACAAAAATAAGTTTGAGGTGTGACAGTAGGTATGATGGAAAGTCTCTTTTTCTTTTCTTCAAGTGCCAGGCTACTAATCTTTGCCCACAGACCTGAAGAGAAGAGCTTGCAAGCATGCCCTGAAGTTGTTTTAACCAAAACAAGGGGGAAGTATGCACATCAACACAACACACAGAGTGGATTTCTGTACTTTGCGTTCAGTCAGTTTCAAAGCAGATGTAAATTATAATCACAAAGTCCCAATACGTTAACTGAGGCTTGAAGTCAAAAAGGTGTGCATTGCAGTAGCAGAACCCTTTAGGGAAAATTATTCTTCCTGGCCCGTTGCAGAAGCATAAGGGAGATTTGGCTATTTCTGCTGTATAATATCGTAGCATCAATCTAGAATCTGTCAGTGCCCCTAGATGAGGAAAATCTTGTAACAAATGGTGTAAATTGACCAACTAAAGGGCTGATACATTTCTCAGCATATCCTCTGGTCATTCCGTTTATCCTACCAAGTCTATGTGAGTCTTTTCTGAATCCATCTTTCTATGCTCATCTTTCTATGTGTCCTTGTTTTTATCAGTATTGAAGGAAGTGTTTGACATGAACCAGATGAATGAATCCTGGAGAAATTTGGATTTCATCAGCATACTGAGAATGCAGAGCCCCTATATTCCCTCTTAATTCTCTAACAGAAGAATAATAACTTAGTGAGTTAACAATATGAAAGTTCTCAGCAGTTGGGAAATAATTACCAAAAACTGTACACTGAAATTTATCTCAAGAAAAATTGATAGTGACATAGCATTCGGAATCTTTATTCATTTCCAAGATGGAATTACAAAGTACAGTCTGAAGCCAGGCTGGCAAGAATCAAGACCAGATACACTGACTTCCCAGAAAATATCTTTACCAATGAATAGAAAATTAGATACTGGCCTATATTTTGTATTCATAGTTACTTTTTTTTTAATAAACTAGCTGTTGTACTTGTGGGGGGAAGAATCTTACTTAAAAATTGACAATACTCTCTCTCTTTGAGGTACAGATGCTTGAGCTACAAATAACATCTATTTCCATTTTTTCATCACTAGACAAAAAAACCCACAAATCCTTGGTATAAAATAGTTCTGACAGTTCTGCTGGATGCCAGTGTCCCATGCATGCTTACAGAAAATGTCATGCTTTTCTCTTCCCAGGTTTTCAGGCACAGAACCTGACAGTTCAGTCTAAATCAGTCAGCTTTTTTTCTTAAAAGTAACAGTGCATTCCACCCGGCTTTTCTTTTTAAACTCTCTGGTGCTTGCACTATTTGAGGCTGTCAGTTGTTCAAAATCTGGTTTTAATCTTAATTTGACCAGAGGAAGGTTCCAAAATATTTTGGGGGAAAAAAATGGCTTAGTTCTGTTGTCTTTTCTGTCCGTTCAGCTGCAATTTGAGATAGCTCTTGAATCTAGTCATAAGTCGTAAAAAAAAAAAATACAAGTGCACATGTAGATAGACTTCATATTCCTAACATATCTACATTTAGAAAACAAATTTCTCAAGTTCTTTCCACACATATTCTGCATGTCTTTGCATGTTACTCTTGAGAAAACTTGCATGTTGGATGTCACCACTTTGTAGTGATATAGAAAAGATTATAAAATGATCCCCTAAAGGAATTGTTCAGGGAATTAAACTGGATATAATATTGGTGTATTTAAAAAAGAAAACCACAAACCCACAGACATCTCCTAATGTGGAAGGACAAGTCATTTCTTAAATTTAACTTTTGCTCAGAATTTTCCCTGATGGTGATTTATAACCTAGTAAGCCCCTGCATGTTTTGTTCCACAACGTGTATCTGCTATTCTGTGATGTCCTCTTTTTCCCGGAAAAAATGTGTGTTAAAGCTTTTGGCTAAAGGGCCACTACAATTCCAAGGCATAGCAGTTCAAAGGAGTACTGCAGGCAACTATGAGAACTTCACACTGACTGTGAACTAGTTTACATTTAGTAAAACATATGCAAGAATTTACCAAATGGTTCTCTACACCCCTTGGATTTATTCTTTTCCCCACAGTCTGTGTATATCCAAAGTGCTTGGTATATCTATGTATAAGCAAATTGAATAATGCAGATACTGTTCCCCTTATGTATGTCCAATAGTGGTCAACGCATCGTGGACTTGATGAAAATATTCATCAAGTCACAGGTGCAGGTAGAGGTCTAAACTACACCTGATCATTATATCCTTTGAATTGTTTCCTAGATTGAAGGGAGAATTATAGAGGATGCTGAAACACCAACTCCTCCAAACCCCTCTGGCCAGTGTCCCATCTGTCGCTGGAACCTGAAGCATAAGTACGATTATGTGGTGAGTTTAACAAAGGAGAGTTCCCCCATCCTCATAGCTAGATAAGTATTGGTCTCAGATCTACATACTGCACAACCTGCCCCTCTTGTCTTTTGCTGGGTGTAGTAAAGATAGCTAACTCCATCTCTGCTTCTCTTGGGTGTAACAAGAGTTTCCTACATAGTAATTGTGTGCCTTGGTCGATGATGTTCCTGGGAAAAAGAAGGATGAGCTCATATCAAATAGGAGGTTTAGAATTATACATGTGGCCATCTGATCTGAAAAGGCCATATATCTCTTTTGTGCCCAGCTGCCTTTCAGTATTGTATTTCCAGGAGAATCAAACTGGAATGCAACATTTAGTCAACTGAATCAGGCCTCTTCTAACTCCAGAGAGGCCAAAGACTCGAAGTTCCTCCCTTGCAAGCTAAAAACCCAGTACTGGAATTAGAAAAGAAGAAAACCAGACAGGAACATGCTGTTACTAAGATAAGGCAACAGAAAACTCAGAATAAGTTAATGTCAGTAGGATTAGGGCAAGAGAGATACAAATGCATCTGGAGGAAGTCTTTGTGAGAAAGTCCATTAATGAGAGGAGAAGGGGACTGAAAGCCATGTTGGCTGCAGAATGACTAAGCTGCTCATATGCAGTCCTAGCGTGCACACACACAAAATAAAAATTATGGTTTAATATCTAAATCTAAGTAGTAATGGCAATCTTGCAAATGTAAAACAACAGGTACAGAAATAACTTCAGCATTGAATTAGGTACAGACCAGCAGGCCTGGATTGCATGTAGGCCCAAGATCTCAAGGGAATTAGCTAACAAATGTATTAAATCACTTGCAGGATTTTTTTTAAATCATGAAAAAAATTCTAAGGAATCACCAAATGGTTTGAAAATAGCAAGTGAAATACTAAATAGTTGAGAGAGGAAGGAAAATGATGCTGATGATTACCACCTGGTAAATCAAATCTTGCAAATTCCAAGTAAAATGGTATCAACTAGGAGTAAAAACAAGTAACCTGTTGGATAGGACTAAATATGACTCATGACTGATGAAGTACATGAGTACAGAAATAGTGCCAGACAAAATACTTGCAATTACTCCATGCAGGTGAAACAACAGATGTGAGATGTAAATGAAATACCAGTTTACTATTTTTCAAAGCCTGCATTGCAGAAATTAAGTTGTCTAGGATCTTGAGTGTTGTCAGTGATTCTGACTGAGACTGGATGCAATATTAAACAGTAAAATAACTTGGGGGTGGGGGCATATTTAGTGTTCTCTGGTCTGATTTCTCAGCAATCTAGGAAAGTTAAAAATACAATGAATTTGTAGATGATAATAAATGAGGAAAATACCAAATACCATTAAGATATGGAAAGTACTACAAAAACAGATCATGTTTGGTTTGTGTTGTCCATGTTTGAATGCAGTGATTTCTTGCAACTCTTTTCTTCTTCATGGTTGCTGAATTGTGTTCCGATCAAAACAGACCGATCACACTGGAAAATACGTTCTTAAGGTTAATAGAGTTTTATGTGACTTTTAAATGCAAGGAGTCAACAGCACCATTAAATTGGGTAGTTCTACAGATTTCCAGAAAGCATTCCATGAGTCACACATTAACAACTCCAGAGAAACTACAAACTGATGCTTAGGGATGAAGTGAGCCATGGGAGTGGATTAAATCTTGGAAATTAATATATAGACTAACTTTATACTCCTGTCAGTGGAGGAAGACGCTGTTGCATGTAGAGATAACAGTGCCACTGAGAACCAAAGAGGCAGTTTTAGACAATGTGATGCTGCAGAGCATGAGTTCCAGGATTAGAAATAGGCTGTTGATCCCAACAAACAATGTAAAACATGAGTCTTAACTGTGTTTGTAGAGTGAGCTAAGGTTTTGAGTTTTCTTCCACAGTTTGATTCTTAGATCTGATTCTTTCTACTGTATGGAGGCAAGAGAAACCTAAATGTGAGGAGAGATCCTGCAGCCAATGTCTTGAGAATCATTGCTGAGATCATTCCTAAGAAATTGTGGTCCTGATGTACAAAGTAGGAACATGACCATTCTGGCTGTCATGCAGTTTTTGAATGTATATGCATCTGGTGTATATATATATCCAGTACTCCTGCAGTAGAGCAGAGGAGAACCTGGACAAAAAGCTACAGAGAGCAGTGTGAACTGGTATTTCAGAATTGTATAAGGTTCTTACCTCAGTATTTAGAAGCATTCTACTGTGGGGCTTATGAGAACTAGGAGAAATTTCAGTTCTGGAGCACACTGCATCTTCTGCTTCAATAAGTCCCTTATATGTTTGAATGCTTTGTACCAGCCATGGATTTTCAGGCTTTTAAATGTTAAGGTGAATAAAATCTCCCTTTTCTTCACAAAAGCACTCTCTGCTATTTTCTTTGCTGCAGCAGTGATGAGCAGCAGAATCTTGAAATGCTTAAATAATAAAGTGCAGGCATTTAACTGTGTGGGTAATTAAACAGTGGCACAATTTACTCACTGGTGGTTAATTGTCCTGAAAGTCTGTAAATTGAGAACAGCTATTTTTGTTAAAGATATAGCCTAGTTCATACAGCATAACCTATAATCTGTTCTTGGTAAGAGATCAGAATAGATGGATCACAGTGGTTCCTTTGAGATTGATAAGCTGAGATCAGTCAGTTGCACAGAAGGGAAAGTGTGAGCTTTTTTGCTTGGGATGCTTGTAATTGGACTGAATGAGGCACTGTGAAAAGGGAAGTGTTGAATTAGCCCCTGAGGGAGCTGAGTAATATGACCTCATAGGACTTTCCTTTTGTCATGTGCAACTAGCACAGTCTAAAGTAGTGGCATAATGAGTTACTTTGGCTGTCAGAGAACTGGGGGACCAATGTCTCCAAAGTTATTAATCAACTGAACATGCATTGTGAGCACTAGCAGGTCATGATTCCAACCCGTCTCGGCTGTGGTGTGGAGGGCTGCAGTTGTCTTTGCCACTTCAGTCCTTAGTCTCTGCTGAGGCGCAGGTTAACAGAGCCTAAGGTATAAATTCCCCCAGTTTGTGGTCTGTGTGTGTCTGTCCATTGAAACAGAGACCTCAGATAACGATATTTTTTTTTCATATCCATTGGAGATAAAATATTATTTTGGGGAGATCTAATTGTGGCTTACCGGTATCTGAAGGGGGCCTACAGGAAAGATGGTCAGAGACTGTTTATCAGGGAGTGTAGTGATAGCACAAGGGGTAATGGGTTTAAGCTGAAGGAGGGTCGATTTAGATTAGATATTGGGAAGAAATTCTTTACTGTGAGGGTGGTGAGGCACTGGAACAGGTTGCCCAGAGAGGTTGTGGATGCCCCATCCCTGGAAGTGTTTAAGACCAGGTTGGATGAGGCTTTGGGCAACGTGGTCTAGTGGAGGGTGTCCCTGTCCATGTCAGGGTGGTTGGAACTAGATGATCTTTGAGGTCCCTTCCAACCCAAACCATTCTATGATTCTATGATTTGTCAGGATGCAACTGGATTGAAACCTGCAATCCTGTTACGAAATGCCTGGAGAATGGTGTACAGCTCCCAGGAGTAAGGGAGAAAGGAAAAACTAGACTCTTGTGTAACTGGAAATAATGACTGGCAGACTTGTCTGATACAGCCCAGTAGTAATTTGACTACACAGACAGAACTCTTCTTGCAGTAAATGAAGGTTTTAATGAATCGCATGTAACCAGTGAAGGATCCTGTTTTCAAAGTGTCTGCAGATACTAAAATGCAGAGATGCCTCTGCATTTTCATTGCCATCCATTCACAAGAAGATGCTGTACATAGTGTTTCATTTAGCAAGTTTATCCAGCCCTTTCAGAGGTGAAAGCTAAACTTGTTTTTCATTTTCCCCCTTATCCACTTCAAACATCATTAGTCTGAGTAGGCAGTAAATATGTCATCTTGCTTTGGCAGCAATTAGGGGAAACCAAACTGCAAGCTTTGCCTATTAGCCCTAGATTAATTCAATCCAAGTTGTTTTCATCAAATGCTGCAGATTACAGGGGTGGGAATCTGGGTCCAGCCTCGTGGGAGCTGTCCAGTGATTAAAGCAAATCCGTGGTTACAGGCTTGGCTGTCCGCTAGCACAAAATGTGAATTTCATGGAACATGACGGCACCATGAGAACTTGCCAGATGTATTTTTTTTCTTTGACCGCTCCACATGCTTGTTCACTTCCCTCCACAGCTGCCCCATAAAGTTGGCTGTACCTGTCTGCTTTCTCCCTGTGGTAAGATGCATCTGTGCAAGTACTCTGGGAGAGGCACCTGGCCTGTTAACTGTGGGGAACTTCAGAAATGGACAGACCTTCTGTCAAGCGTGCAGCATTTTAAGCCAAACGGCGTGAGTGTAATTTGGAGCTGTAGTGGCTGGGACATAGATGATTTCAGTTAAGAAATGACTGCCACACAGGGGTGTTGGTCAGCTGGTGACACTGTTGTCAGAGATGATAAAAGAGAATGGATTTTCCTGGTTTTTTTCCACAGGGAGAAAAATAAAGACTATCTCCCTTTGCTTCCCACCTCCCCCCTTTGCATGGAAACACTTGATAACAAGCCTGTGACTCCATGAGGTGTGGTGGTAATATGAGAAATCACTTGGACCACACAAGAGCATGTGGCCTACTTGGGTTTTTACGGCTGCAAAGACTGGAACAGCCTCAAACTTGCCATCAGCTCCTTTTTTCCTCTTCCCCACAGAGTAATGCAGCAGGCTAGTAGAAGAGTCTAGAAAGTTTGTCTCTTTCTAGGCACTTGGAGCTAAACAGCACTCTTTCACTTAGGGATGCAATATGTTTGTGGTAAATGGCAAATTGAACTGTTGGTGATTTGGAGAACTAGATGGCTGAAGAAGAGGAAAAAAGGGGATGGAGTCGTGCTGTGGTTTCCTGAACCCAATCCAGTGCATTTCAGGAGTGGCCAAAAGTCAGTGCCCTTGGACTGTTTGGCTGGCCTCCGTCCAGTTCCCACCAACGCAGCTGGCACCAGCTCATCCCCTGGTTACGGTTCTCATTGGCAAGGCCACGTGTTAGCTGGGCTGAGGACACTTCACTTCTCTTTTAACCATAGATGGCCTCTCAGGAGCATGCTGCTAGTTGCTCAGCTGTGCTTTTCTTGTTCTTCAGATAAAACATCACTCTGTATGGTGGTTGATAAGTCATTTTGTATCAGTGAGAAGTTGCCTAACCTGCCATGTTTTCAAAGGAGCTGTGTCTGAAAATCAGTCTGAATGCATTCATTGTAGACAAGTGGAGGTAGAAAGGAAGCCAGATAAGGGAGGAGGGAAATTGTGTGTCATGATAATATTAGTGAGGGTGGGATTGAAGCGGGGAGAGAGAAGGACAAAACCAAACCACAACAAGCCAAAACAAACAAAAACCTCTAAATTTTGACTGTAAGACTCATGTGACAGCATCTGTCAGAATCTGTGATTACCAGAAAGCCATACTGAATTCCAGCAGCCCCCTTCAGAGCTGAGCTCATCTTATGTAGTGGGGGGTAGATGTATAATTCCTAGATAGATAGGTTTTCTGAATATTCATTTTATATCCACTTGTGATTGTTTGCTTTTGCAAGGGCAGTAACTGAAGCTAGGAATGCTCCAGGGAGCTCTTTGTAAAGCAGCAAAGATGGGGGGGGTGGGAGCATGTCTGCGAATCTGTGAACAAAAGGTAGTCACGGTCACCCAATGTGAAAAGCAACAAGTACTCTTTGTTCTCACCTGTTGCCCTACACAGGGGGATGTAAAGTGCTGACGTACCTGGTTTTAATTCTCGTTTTGTCGGGGTGCTCAATGGCAGGCCCCTTCCAGCCTGCAGGCAGCCTCCACATGGTCCAGCTGCCTCAACTATGAACATGTTTACAACAGCAGTGGAGAAGTAAACTCTCAACCAGCAACATCTATCAACAGATGGGGGAAAAAACCAAGCACAGAGTCTCTAGAGGCCCTTTGGGCCAACTTGTGTTGACATCAGCATGTCAAGGGGACCTGGCTATGTTGTCCTGAGAGGTACATTTGCAACAGTGGTGTGTGTGGAAATGGAGAGCACGTATCTAAATACTGGGCTGTTGTACTGTGTACAGTTAACGGGACACTCGTGCAACAACTGTTGCTGCTGTGTTTAAAAATTTGTCATCCCAGCTCTGTGATACTATCTGATCCTAGAGATCCCTTTAATTTTGTTTTTATTAAGAGTGCTTTGCATTTCTAGAGCTCTTAATTGGAAAGGTCAACAGCAGCATAATCTAAATGATTCTTGAATCACAGACAAACCCTTGGCATGCTCTGAGTGCTCCTTCCATCCAGCATGGCCGTTAGAGCTCCACCTCATACACGCACAGTGTAAAGGACTGAAGGCAACAATTTATCCTATTAGGTCTTTCTCATCAGCACACGTTCTTTTCTTACAAAAAGCTTCTTCATGTAAGATCTTGGACCATTTCCCTGCTCTCCACCCCTCCAGAGAGAAATGAGAGAAGTTCCACCATGGGAAGCTGGATAAAAGTTTGAGGAGTAGATAGCAGAGAACAGTCCTACTCTGAGGGAACAAGGAGGGGGCCAGAGGTGATCTAACATATCTGTGACCTTTAGGATAGCAGCTGTGATGGCATTTCAAGTTGTGTAAACACTATCCATCTGTACATCTTGTGTAACTGTGCCTGACTACCTAGGACACATTATCTTAGCTAGAATCTTGGAGCAAGCGACAGTGAAGTAGCAAGGATTGCAGCTGACATCATGTGTTTACACTAGTGAAGTCAGGGGAAGACTCAGATCATCTGAGTGACCTTACTGAGCTAAGCTGGCAGGCGGAGTGACAGCAAGCAAAAGCCACTTGTCAGGCTGCAGCCAAAACGCGTGGGAAGGAATCATTGTTTTGTTTTGAGTTCTGTACACAGCATGAGGGTGAGCACAACACCTAAGAATCACAGCAGTTAAAGTAGCTGTAGCACTGATGGTTTTGCCCTTCTCTTGCTCTCTCAGGATGTCTTGCTGCTGAGTCAGTTTATCCGTTCTGATGGAGGGATGCTGCCACGAAGGATCACAGGCCTCTGTTTGGAGGAGCACAAGAAGATTGCTGTCTGTGTGCAGATGGCTCACCGTGCAGGTACTTAGTCTTCTCCTGAGTCAACCCCATTCTGTGGGCTACCCATAGAACCCCGTGAGAGGGGTCTCCTGCCCCGTAAGTATAGCTCATTGAGATGTCATTGTCCAGTCAACCACCAAACTCGTTATGGTCCAAGTGCTGGGACAGGATGATGGACCAGAGACTACTTGTTCTGCTTTCTATGTGTCTTGGCAGCAGACATTTATCCCTGTAGATAAGTCTACTGTTGCAGAAAGATCTGGGAAGTGGCTCAGTCTCCAGTAACTAATGATTAAATACCATCCTTGGAAATTACTTGATTTAGCATAAGCTTGACCTACCCCATTAATAACATGCACCTATCTACTATCTGCCATGTGAATGTTTTTTTGCTTTACCCTGAGAGTGGGACCCCGGTTGACACAGTCAGTATTGTGCTGAGCTTTATGCCTGGTACCCGAGTTGTATCCAAGTTAAATGGACTGAGAATTTTAATAATCAATCTGATCAGACACCAGCACCCTATGTCCTCTCAAAAAGCCTCTTTGATGAGCCCAAGTGGCTGTGTCTTTGGTGTGTATTTCCTCTCTATACCCAGCAGAACCTCCTAGCTTCTCTTTGGCTGGGGTGCAGGTTCAGCAATGACTAAAAGATAAAATACCCTTTCTACTGTACTTGAGTTTTTGCTGTGCTTTCTCAGTAGGGATCTGGGTTGCCTGGCTTATGAGGTGTAATCTAGCCTCTGGATGCTATAGGGGCAAGGAGGCACTCCAGAATATTCTCACGTCTTTTTCTGTTTCAGGTTTGTTGCCAAATCACAGGCCTCAACTTCCTGAAGGGCATATTCCCAAGAAACCCAAGCTCAACAGGTGAATGGACTTGTCTTTCCACATCTCTCTTTTTCAGGAATAGATTGGAAGAGGAAAAACAGTTCCTTATAACTGGGTAAAACATGCCTAAGGCAACTGGGCTCATAAAGAGTAGTCATAGCATTTCAGAGAAGGAACATCTGTCACAATATTTTCTTGTTTTTTTAAGGACAAACCACATCTCATTCAAACCATTTATCCACACAGCATTAAAACTGCCACACTTGTTAGAGTCTGCCCTCCCTTCCTCAGCTACACTAACCTCCTCATCACAAACAGTAGGGCAGTCACAGGAGGTTGCCACAGAGATGGAGTCACAGCATTACAGAGTAGTTCAGTTTGGAAGGGGCCTCTGGAGATTATCTAGTCCAAACCCACTGCTCGAGCAGGTTATTCAGGACTGTGTTCAGTCAGGTTTTGAGTATCTCCAAGGATGGACCTTCCACAGTTTCTCTGGGCAGCTTGTTCCAGAGAAGCACCCTCACAGTGAGACGGTGTTTTCTTACATTCATACAGAATTTCTTATGTTTCAATTTGTACCCATTGCCTCTTGTCCTGTCACTGGGCACCACTGGGAAGAACTTGGCTCCATCTTCATTCCCTCCCTTCAGGTATTTATAAACATTGGTAAGACCTGCTCCGAGCTGCCTTTTCTCCAGGCTGAGCACTCCCTTCTCTCTTAGCCTTTTGGTGCCTGGCCCCTAACAGCAGGAAGGTGCCCAGGAGGGGGGTACCAGCAGTGAGTGGGGGGACGAGCAGCCAGCAAGGGCCCATCACAAGCCCGTTCCCCTCTGCCCCATCCCCATTTCTCTCAGCAATTCACCCCCTGCCTGCCCTTCCTGTGCAACAGGGTCTCTTCCCCCTCCCCAGCCTGAATGGCCCCTGGCCTTTGGTGGGCAAAGGAGAAGCCTGTGGCCGCCTCCTGCACTGCGCTGGGCGCTCAGAGGTGCTAATCCCCTGTTTATGACCTCACACTCTGTTTCCATGGGGATGTCAGAGCGGTTTATGAACCTCGCATTAGCAAGCCATGAGGTTACCAGAGGCCATGGGGCTGTTGCTGGGAGAGCTCAGGCTGCAGGGCTGGGGGCGGCCGGAGACTCCTGCATTTCAGGTCTAACTCTGCAGTGGAGATTTGAGGCAAGCTCTTGGAAATGCCCCTTGGATACCAGCAGGCTCCACACAGGGTATCAGTGAGGATCAAATTAGAGGACTCTACATTTGATGCAGCGTTGTAGCCATCAGATACTTCAACTCTGAAAACTTTCTTTCCTGTGTCTTACAAGTCTTTGGGATTCCTTAGTAGTTGTGTCTATCTAGCAGCTGTGGGGTGGAGTACATTATCTAGTTAGCATTCACATAGCAGCTCTGCATAGCAGGTTGAGACAGGAAATGGTAAATCCTGTATCTTGCTGGAATCACACCAGGACTCCAGATCTAATGCCCTGACTCTATAAATTGTTCCATAGACTTTTAGCGAGAACAAAGAATGGATACCTCCAGATACGTTCTACATGCAAGTTGGTGTGCTACACCTCTAAAATGGAGAGATTTAAATTGGAGATTAGTATCCAAGCCCTCCCCTATTGCATTGCTAGTTCCTCCCTACACCACCCTTGGTTTTTTCCACCCAGCAAGGCAACATAGCAAGCAGGGTGGAAGCAGAGTTTAGAAAAAGAGTAGAGCCATTGCTGAGGAGATAAACAGCATTGCAATAGGTAGGCTTTGGGGTCTGAGTGGAGACAAGAGAATAGTATCAAGAAATTGGATTGAATTTTTTTTTAGGGGGGAGGCTGGAACTAAAGAATGGAGTCCCAGAGCCAGGATAGAGTGCAGGAGTACTTCAGGTGTGCTCTCCTGGTCCCTCGTGATACTGTTATCTCAGCCTGCTGGAAGGTGAAAGCTCTGCATATTGGAGCCTTGTGAAATCTTGGCCATTGCAGCTCTGTGAGAGTTTTGAGTCTGTGTACCCCCACCTGCACTTCCTGCATTGCTGTCTGGAACTGTAGCTGGCATCATGTAAGGCAGGAGATGTAAAGTGCTTTCTTCCTCTAGCTTGAAGGAAGGACTGAAGGGTACCCACCCACATGCTGAAGACATTCAACTAGTACTTATTTTGGGAATGAAGCTAGAGCTCTTATCAAATAAGTTTCCCACATAAATGACTTGTCCAAGCTTACCTTGTCTTTGCCTCAGTACTTGTTTCTAAAGCTTTCTGTAAGTCCATAGTAATTTGGGAAGCAGTCAACCACTGGTGCTGCAAGTGAGCTGGCAGGGGAGGACAGGGGCAGAATTGGGCTGGGACTTTTCAGTGGAACAAGCTGTCTTGTTCAGTGCCGTGAGAACATGACTAGGTCATCCTCTAATCCTGTCTGGTGTAATATCAGGGCTGCACACCTAACTTAGCCAGTCTTTTCGCTGCATTTGTGTCTGCTGGGTTTTTAAATGTCAGTCTGTGAAGAGATGAATAGGATGTACATCATAGCAGGCAGTACATTGCACAGTTAAGTGATGTATTTTCCAAATCCTTGAGCTTCAGCTCTTCTGAGATCATTGTACTGGCTGCTCTAGTTGTCTTCACCTCTCTGCTTAAACGAGAGATAACAGTGCCTTTTTGCACTGCTGCTCTAGCCCTGGTAATGCCAACGGGGAGAAACTGAGGTGCCTCATAACATGCTTGGGCCCCTCGTTAAAGCTCTTCCAAGACAGGAACACAGGTAATGCACATTCTTTAACATCAATTTAACCAGCCCTTGTGCTCTCTAGCTCTCCCTGCAGTGATAGCTTTTTCTGTGCTCCACCAGTGGGTCTGCTCAGTGTGGTGTTGAAATACACTCTTCTGCACCATATCCCCTCCAAAATAACCCCACCAGCCACACTTCAGGAGCAAAGTGAAGTGTCTATATTGTAGATGCTGGAGCTATTGAATTGCCACCAGCTGTTTGAGAGACCTTTAACCTGATCTGTGAAGGACCCAGGGGCCCTGCACAGCAGATTGCACAGTGCTGTGCACTGATGTTTGCAAAGGTGAAAGAGGCATCACTTGCTTGGCTCTGCAGCAGACTGGTCCTCCTTGGTCAAAAGAAAGTAGTCATGCAGAAACAAAGCCAGCAAACAGAGACGGAGACAAACTTGTATCAGGGCTGCAAACTGAGATGGATAGTTCTCACAGGTGGGCTAGTAGTATCCAGTATACTGAGAATTTAGTCCATTCCCAGTCACACGTCCTCCATTCCTGATGTCTTTCCCCCTTGCTCATCTGCACTTACTCTCTTGCAATCAGGAGCTTGCATCGCACGTGGAAGAAAGCTTTGTATACAGAAGACACAGTTCCTGCTATACTGTTCTAAAATAGGAAGGTGCAAGGTGAAAAGAATAGACAGAGCACCACAGACACGTATAGTCTGTCTCAAGACTGTGACAATAAGCTCTACCATGCTGAAGGACAGCATTTCTTTCAGAGTCTTATCTATACTTTTGTGTGCTCACCCCTTCTGCCCTGAAATTCCTTTCATTGCCCCCCTGTAAGTAATCTGTTGTTTAACTCTTCACTCTGAATTGAGAAATCTCACTTTCTTAGAGGAGGGACTTCTGAGAAGTCACTGTCTAGTCCAGATGTTACCCCACATACTTCTATGAGAATTCCTACCATCTGGGGACAGAAAATCTTACACTGAGCTGAAGAATGTTTTGCTGATGGTAGAGCTCTTCACAGTAGACTACACCAGCTGCTAGAGTAACAGGACCAAGGTAAAAGCCTAAGATAACCTTAGGGGCTGATTCCACTCACACCACCTGAGATTGAAGGAGATTCATTGTGGGGAGCGTAAATTGATGTGGGAGTCAGAGCCCTGCGCTTCTACCATAATACAGACCTGAATGTTCACTTACTGCATGTAGACATTGTGGATGTTCTCTAGACTCAGAGCAGCAACCCCTGCCTGGCTGAAGTCTGGCAGATGACTTTATTTGGATGAGCAATCCCTTTCATTTCTCTCATCTTGCAAAGTTCTGGTTGATGCTCCTTTCAGCCAGGCTTCTTCCAAGGTTGTGTCAGTATTTTTGAAAGCAGCTTCATCTGCTGCCAAAAGAGGGACAAACCAGCCTGATGAAAAACTGCTTTGTCTCTGCTCTTTGCCCCTGAGACAATGTTCAGGCCAGCTGCATAGGAGGAACATTATGGCTCCTGGGTGAAGGTGCTAAGAAAGTACATACAGAAAGACGGAGGAGCTGTCTTAATGTATACATTTGAGAGCACCAAAAAAGCTGCTCCTCAGCTTTTCTTTGGCTGCACTTGTGGCATTCTTGGCCAGAATGTTTGGCCCATGTCACGGTCACCCTGTAAAGTGAGCCTGCTTCAAATACGAAGTGTCTGGCATGCACTGGCTATCACCTAGCTGAGATTAACATGCCACTGTATGGAACTATCAGCAAACTGTCTTGTTTTAACAAGGGTCAGGGGTGCTGCCCTGCTATTGAGCTAGTGATGTGAAGTGTGGATTTATCACCCAGAACCCCTCTGCCTGCTCTGCCCCTCCAGAAGGTGCTCTTCTGGTGCTTACTCAATGATGTTTTCCAAAAAGCAGAATCCCTGCTCTGTTTTCTGAAGCGGTTGTACTGTGTCTTCATTGTGTGAACTTGGGATGTTCCCTCCTACGTGCCCCAGATTACTCTGCAGAGATGTAAGAATGTCCCTGCTGTGCACTAGGTCACTTGGCAGCTGGCCTCCCCCTACCCACCCCATCTTCTGATCTGATTTCTACTACTGGAATTCAAGAGGAAGAGCAGAATGCTTTGGGAAATAGTGGCCTGCAGCTCTCGCCTTGTACTTGGTCATCCAGCCGTCTAGCACAGTAGGGGATCACCCATCCAGGATGTAATGTAACATAGCGGAGGAGATTGGAACTGCAGAAGAAGGTATAACATGAAAGTGAAATGCCAGTTTGAGCCAAGCGGTGTGGTCCTGGGGGTGGTAGGAGATGTATGAAAACACCTTGTGGTCATAATTCAACTGAGGAGCACTCCACGGCTCTCTTTTCTACCCCCTGCAGTTAGGACATTGTCCAGGTGAAACTTACCATGGTATTTCTTGTTTCTTGAACTTTAGTTCTTTGCCTTTTTGCTTTCTGCATTATTTGGTTTTGACAGCGATAGCTCGTGAATGTTATCACTTAGCTGCTTTACTAGCTATGGGTGCTTTTGCAGAAATATGGCTGTTGGAGTACCCACATCATACATAAATTCTTGAATCTACTGTCCTCCCCCTCTCTTCCATATCATTTGTCTGCAGAACTTGGACATGGAAAACCAATGAAGTTTACCCCCATCAATGCAGAATTACTCCCTGTAGTTCATTTTCTCATGTCTGGCCCAGTCTGGGGCTTTCACTGTTTCCAAGGGATGATTCTACAAGCAAATTTGTCTTGCAGCCAAGGATTGTTTCCTTGTCCTTAGCCTGAATTCTCCCTTTCATAACTTCCTGCTCTTACTTCTGCTCCAGCCTGGCATGTTCCCGTTAAGTGCTGCAGTAACAAAATAGTTACTGCGAGGCTGAGGAAGTTCTTGGGGATTTCACCAGCACTGTGCAGAGTGACAGACTGGTCTCATATTCCAGAGCCATGTGTGTAAGGCCACCACACACCAGAACCATTTGGGAAACAGTCAAGCACAGCTGCAGGTCAAACTTCTATCCTTGCTTTCAGGAATGGAAACCTGAATAGCTCGTCAGTTTTCTTTCCAGCATGGAAGTTGTCACATGGATCGTGTGGACTAACACTCTATCCAGAACAGTCACTGAGTTCAGGCCAGCATCTAAATGCTCTCTCAATGTGATTATAGCACTCATTTTCTTCTGGCAGGTCCAAAATATTGGTTAAAGCACAACACTTTGAAGTTGTTCCCTTTCCAGAAGGACTAAGGGGTGTCACAGGTTCCCTGAGTCAGGGCTCTGTCAGCAAGAGGTGCTGTAGATGATGGAGTACTTGATTTTGAGTGCTCAGCTGCCATTCCATCTTCAGCTTCCTACTGGAAGAACAGAACTTGGCACAGGTAATATCCAAGTCAATCCCTCCTCCATCACCTGAACTGAAGAAGTTGCTATGTGTTAGGAAAGAGGCAGGTTCCATATGAACTCCTCATGAATTACAAAGTTCTCAGGCTCTGTGGACACCTCTCTTCTCTAGGAGCAGAATCTGGTTTCACTGCTATCAGTGTTTCACTCCAGCAGCATGTGGTTTCTCTCATCTGCATGGAAACTGTGCTGTGCATAGCATGTGAATTCAATAGCAAAGAGCCAGAGTGGCTGCAGGTGAGCAAAGCCAAGAGGTGTTATGGGAAGGGATGTGGCAGGGAGGAGGCAGTCTTGCCAGCACTTTGATCGAGTGTTTCCTGCAGTCTGTAGCCCTCTGCCTTCTGCTCTTAATCCAAACAAAAGCCATATTGAAAAAATTCAGTGAGGGTTCAGAAGTTCAGCCTTGAACTGCACCAACATGGCCTTTGCTTAGGCTACATGCAGGACCGCAGTTGCCCCATGGGTTGGTCATTTTCCTTATCCAGCACATGGAAGCCCTGTGCCTACTCCTAGGTGTTAAGCAGCAGCCCCTGAGTGGGAATGCTTTGGGGCCCTCCTGCTCACTGAGTAAAATCCATGGAAATGGATTTCCACGTGCCAGAGATTTTGGGCAATTGCAGTGACGGCAGGTGACTAACTAACCATGCTTGTATCCATCCTGTTTATATCTTGCCTTTTTCCATCAAGGAAGTCCCACCAGCATTTCCATCACACTTTATCCAAACTACTCATTTGTGCAGCTGGAGTCTAGGGATTCTGGGTGTTGACCAAGATCCTACCGTACGTAAGGGGCAAGCAGAGCCCCGAGGTGAGTTGCCAGTCCCTGAGACTGGTAGTGCTGTCCCCCTTTGTCCAGAGTGAGAGCTCTGCATACTGAGATAACAGGTTAGGAGACTGCAGACCAGCTGCATTTGGCATCCACATGGAGCCTATGTCCTGACAACTCTCAGCTGGTTGAGAAAATTCAGACCATCTGCCAGTGTGTGTTTGTAGGTTATTGTAAAAACTCCCCAAGACAAACTGTGTGGTTCGATACAATGGAAAGTTGGGTGACTTAGCTAGAAAAGGGGGTACACTACCTTACATGGACAGCAGAGTTTGCAGAAAAGTCCTGTGTGATGGGCTTTGAAGTTCTCACATGTGAGTTTTGTGGATTGTTTTTACTCTCAGGGAAAAAAAAAAAATCTGTGAAACAGTAGGAACTGGGGTTAGTCAAAAAGGAAAAGGAATTCTGTAGACTGACTGCTCCCAGGCATCAGGCTTTTGCCACTGCTGAATCAAGGTAAAAAAAAAAAAAAAAAAAAAAGGCAGCAAACAAAATAGGACAAGTTTGAGTTTGGGACAAAGCAAGTATTAAAAGCGCTAAAAGCAAATGTGCTCCAGGAAGGGAAAGCGTCCAAATGTCTGTTTCAGCTAACAATGAAAAGCCCCAGCCTGCAGTCCCCAAAGGAAGCCAAAAGCCTGGACCAGAGGGCTGGATTAGACCTGCTCAAAAGAGAAATAACAAAAGCTTTAAAATCAGGCCATTACTAAATCCTCCTTCCTATGCAGAATTGGGGTGTGCACTTCCAGCCCCCACACAGAAACAGAGGGATTTCTTAAAAAGCCACTGTCTGTCTAAACCTGCACACAGCATTGATGTGTATCGCACATTCACACATTCACTTCTCTCCCAGTGAGATCATTTATTATCACGGGAGCACTTTCCCGTAAGCTTATGGACATGTGACCAGAACTGCACTTGGCACACTGATGCATTAAAACAATTTGGGATTTTTTTCCTCCTTTGCTGTAAATGCAGTTTTGCAATATCAAAACTTGTGCTGCAGACCTCCCCCTGCTGCAAGAGGAATGTGAAAAGGACAGAGCCCCATGTGCCCGTCAAATACCCGTAGAGCTTCTCCCAAAGGAGCTGCCTTGCCATGGTTCTTTGCCAGGTCCCCCCAAACTGGGGACCTGTGTTTGGACTCTCTGAACTCCCTTTGCATGTGAAATTACAGACAAGGAGAGTCTCTCTAATACCTGTCCTGATGTTGTTATGTAAGGGATTCCACGAATGCACTAGCATAACATTAAAGGTCAACAGGGACTAATTTAATGCACGCATAGGAGGACAAGTGGCTGGATCTTGCTCTACACCATCTCCCAAATCTCTCCTGCTGTTGCTTCTAGATGTTTTAACTATCATAAACTCCCCAAAGCAAAAGCGAAGCATTTTGGAAGTGACTTCATTTCAGTGGCAGAAGCCTCCAAATGCGATTCATTTTTCAATTTGTGCTGTTTGGGATTGCTGAGGAAGAAAAGTGCTAGGAAAATGGGCCGCTGCTATACGGTCTGTAGCTGCCTGGCATAGCAAGCTTTCTTTGTAGTTCTCAGGAATGTGCCAAGTGCCTTCAAACAAATGCATTACATGGTCTCTGTCCAAAGTTCTTAATGTCTCAAATTTGCACGATGCAAATAAAAGGTAACAAAGCTGTTTGGGGAGAGGATGACTGATTGAGGTTACATTAAGACCATGGGATTACTCAACAGAGGCATGCAAACATCGCTGGACAAAGTTTATCAGTCTGTTCCAAATTCTAATTTGTTGGAGCATTGTTTGTGAAGATTATGCTAGGGTTTTACTTTGGATCTTTATTGTCTGAAAAGACTCCTCTTTCTCTAAGGACCTCTATTCCCCTCTCTACTGGTAGCAAAAGATTTAAAGCCTAACAAAACTCCAGGCCACCCAGCCACAGGGTAAGATTTCCAGTAACTGATTCTAGATCTGAAATCCCCCGCCTGTTTGCAAAGCCAAGTCTAAAACTTCAAATGGCAAAAAGCAGAGGATATTTGCCAGACGTTGCTCTTCACAAGAGATTTGTATTTGTGATGATAATTCCATTCTAGTGTCTCTTACACTGTAGGTTCTGACTTCCTGTACCAGCAAGCAGCAATAGCATTGTACAGAGAATACTGTAGCAAATTTGGACATGTGAAAATACAAGACTAGGCCAGAAACCCATCCCATGCAGAAGAAATAACCAATTATCCACTGAAAGTAAACCAATCCCTTTTTAGAGACTTTATTTCTCACAGAGTTTAGCCTTTGTAATTAGTTTACCTTATCAAGGCCAGCTGTTGAAGTAACACCTCCCATACAGGCTGGATGCATTCAGCCTTGGGCTTAGTTGCAATAAAGGGATTTGGCACTCCAGTTTAGCTACAGGTGGACAACTTGCAAGCAGCCTGGAGACTACACCTGATTTGTTTTGTGAGACTGGAAGTCAGGCATGTGCCAGTGGGTTCAGTACAGAAGTACAGCGTACAAGTTCCAAAACAAATAAAAATTCCTTTCTAGTGGTCCCTTCTGAATTGAGGGAGCTCTGCTCATGATTATTCCTTTTATAAAGAGGCATGTGGGGAGGCCAGAGGCTACAGTGCCTGCTCCTGCTTCGGTTGGAACCTTTTCTCAGTGATCAGTCTCAAACTTAAATGTGTTTGTGTTGTTTTTGACAGGTATCTGACCCGCTGGTCCGTCAAATCTGCAAGGCCCATCTGGAGTAGGGGCCCTAAGTGGTGCAAAAAACCCATGCCAGTCGGACACCCTTTGCTGAAGGATAATGTCAAATATACACAGAAGCCTCTCTCTTTAAACCACTAATGGTCAGAACTGGCATAGTCAGTAAGCACAGCCAGTTTCCACTGTTCTGCTTTTTTTGCAAGTTTGTCAGTATCTCAAATTTTCTTATTCCAAAACTCTCATTAGTACTCTATATTGTCTCCAGTGAATGAGCTGCGATCTGCTCCTCTAGGAGAATACAAGATTCAGCAAAGTAAAGTTCAGTGTGCAGAATGATTTGGAGAAACCAGGGGGCAAAGACTTTTACCTCAAAGCCAGAAAGGAGCTGAAGCCTTTTGTTTCATTATGGTCCATGACTGGGTTTTTATAAAGTGTTTCCTTCTTTTTCCAGCAATGAATGGTGATTCCCCATTAACATGTGTTACAACTCAGATTTGCTGCACTTGGGCTTTTGTACGCATGACACTGATAGAAGAAAAAGTCTCCTTCAGCACTATGTTTCTTTAGCAGTAACAGAAATCGTTAATGACTACTGAAATTATTTTTTTTTATAATCTGTATTATCCATAATTTGCAGCAGTACATCTGTGGCAGTGGCAGACAGGCATGTGTGCATCTTTTACACGTCCCCTTAAGGATTCCTGGCTTGTGCTTCACTCCTGGATCTAGCAAATACAGAATGCTGACATCCTTGATGACTTGGCCTGTTTTTATCTCTTGCAAATACATTTACCACAAATCTTCCGTGTCAGTGATATGGCTGCTTCCTGGGAGTTTGGGGCTGATAGGTGTGCGCATTTTTCCATTCTGTAACTAAAAGGTGGCACCATTTCTCTCCCTGGGCAGTACACGTATGCTTCTTCTACTGACCACTGCTACTTGAGAAGTGCTACTTATGGCCTGATATGAAAGGCTAATTAAATGTATCAATCAGGATCATTATTGTTGTTTGGCTCCATTTCTTTGGTATTTATCTGGGGACTACAAATCAATACAGCTTTTTTATGTACTACTATGCCACTTAACCTCGTACTGCTTTCATCAGAATCATCTGCTAATACCTACCAGCATGGGCAAGAACAAAGGGTAAAGATAAACTCGTATTACCCAGGAAATGAAATTAGATTATAATGGTTCTTTTTTAGCCTTACTTTGTGAAGTGGAAGCCCTACATTCAGCTCCTAGAGCTGGCCAAGCTTTTTGCTTTGGGAGACAGAGCCAAGACTTCATTAACTATACTGAGATAAAATCTCTGGCTGACTGTCTACTTTATGAAGCTTTGAAACTACAGCCCTTCAGAAAGGAAAAGATTTTTCTTTCTGCTATGTACTGAAGTTACTATGTCTTCTAGCCCAGGTAGCTCTCCTCAGTGAGTTTTACTAATGGAAAAGTCACTGAATTAAACCATTGCCTCAAGATGAACCTGAATGAGCACATTTTGCAAAAGACCAGGTGATGCTCACAGTTAATTTTTTTCTACAGTTTAGTTCCATGAGCTGGAAAGACCCCTCTAATTTTGGTGAAACCTAACATCTTAAAAACAAAATACTCTCCTCTCTTAAATATGCCTTTCTGGAGGTCAGGGTTTAGTAGAGATCCCTTACAGTATGCATCAGCTTTCTACTCTAACTCCAAGGCAGAAACTATTTTTGTTCGTCATTTATGGGTGACAGCAGGCATTCATTCGTGTTGTCTCCAAATGATTTTCTGTGTAAGCATGGTGCCTTTGTAATCAGACAGATGGCCTAGGTTTGATTTCTGACCTAGGGCTTTGCCTGTCATGGAAGAAAATGCCATTTGTTACTACCTAAAGGATCTCCAGTGACATATTACAGGGAATTCAATCTGGAGTTGAAGGAGGATTGCAAACAGTGAAGTCCTAGGAAAAGAATCAGGGCCACAGGCCAGACACAAAAGAATCCTGCTCAATGTGCAGAGGTTTCACGTATTTATTAGAACAAGCAGTAATCAAAAATCTCCAAAGTATAAGATCTAAATGTTCTCGAGTCCTCGTCCCAAACAGGAGAGTCACAGCATGAAGGGCAGATCTAAGTTCTTCTCACCAGTGCCAAAGTAGACGTAGCCGTATTGCTTGGTCATTGGAACATGGTAGAATGTCAGTCCCAGCCACAGCAGGCTCCGCAGCACCACCACAGTGCCTCCCTTCTCTAGCTGAACAGTCCAGGAGCCTGTGCGAGAACATGGGCTAATGAGTCACTGCAAAGGAGAAAGAGGCAGCGTTCCTGGAGCAAGCTGTCCCTAAGCTGGGAGGAGGACTGCCTGACCAGTTAACGGTGCACAGGGCTGCCCTGGAGTTTGTGACACCTGAGAAGAGGAAAGTCAGGGAGACCAGAAACCTTGATGCCCTTTCTTGTTCTGTCAATTCAGCATTATAGGCCACCCTCATTTCCAGATGTCTGTGTCTACTTTCACACAGTAGCATATTCCCATGGCTATGACAGTAACGTCATATGCGTCACAGGAAGGGACCCTTGGAGCTCCAGACTTGTATACTTGATCCCTAGGAGAGGCTGCAGCTATTCTTGGATGCTTCTGAGTGGGCAGCAGTTATTCTAACAAGCTCTGCCACCTACTTGGTCTAGCTAATAGCTGTAGAGAGCCAAGACTAGCTATAGCAATCCTGCAGAGGTATGAAATTTCTTCTTAAAATAAACTCGTAGCATTAGTAGTGGGAAGAAGAAGGTGGTGCTTTCCTGCTCCAGGGAAGACTGGTTTCCCTGATGCAGTGACTGGGAAAGAGGAAGAAGAGAAAGTGAAAAGCAGGGTATTTCCTATCTCACAGAAATTTACAGAAAAGGTTAATTCTCTTCAGTTGTTCTTGGCTCCACCATTGAAGAGGATGTGCGTGGTAGGGGCAAAGGGATTAGTTTCCGCATTAATTTTGCTTTGGCTTTGCAGAGGAGGTTCAGAGCCAGTGTGATAATGCAATTTCTCCTGGATGCAAGGAGCTCTGGGCCACTGAATATTTGTTTTGTGTCTGACACGACAGCCTGGGAACAATGCTGGAGGGGAGAGGGCTGGAGCATCGCTTGGATTCAACACTGGAGGGCAAGGAGCTGCCAGGAGAAGAAAATACCAGCTTCAGCACGAAATCAGTAATGCCTAGAGGCTACAATGTAGGAAAGAAGGTTCCTCCTGAATCTCCATCTAAAAGCAAAAGCAGCAGGCCCAAATAAAAATGCAGTTGGAGCTGTCAGGCTACTACTGGCTTAGAGTCAAGCGGTCAACCTATCTGCACCCAAAGCCAAAATCTGCCAATTCCAGATTAAGCAGAAAGCCCATAATGCGTTGGGCCAGTTAGGCAGTATTCATCCTTGTAGATAATTTTAAGCTCATCAATTCATGCTATGACTCACACATACTCATGTCATGGTTAGCCTGGGGAAGGGCTTCTGTGATTGCTGTCAGCTGCCAATCCTCCCCCTCCCACTAACTTCTGACTCTGAGCCAATTTTAGTCACATCTGACAAAGGGCTGAAGGGCTTTAACACCGCAAGTTCCTACAACAGGTCTCCACAGGACATGGCCCAGGGGTTGACTGCAGCTCCTGAAGGTGTTTGTTTAGTCTGCCAGCAGCTGCGAGGAAGCACAGGCTGTTTGGCTTGCCGGGCAGCCAAGAGGCAGCAGCTGGCTGGGCAATTGATGTTTGCCTAGTTTTGGGCTCTTGCACGCTCACTCGCAGTACATGTAGCCTCTCATGCAGTTCATGGCAAACTACAGTAGTTGACGGCTTGAGGGAGGAGGGAAGTTGAGGGGAAACATATATATGGTGGCTGCAGAATCAGAAAGGAACACCACAATTCAAAGTCCTTTAAAAACCAGGTGTCACAACTTGTGCTCCTCACCAGTTAACTATCTCTTTTCTTTGTATTGCTGTACTTTTCAAAGTTTCTTGGACACCACTGTTTCCCCTGTCTCCTTCAGCAGGAAGTCCCACAGGTTTGTTATACCATCATATGCACAACATAAGTCCTGTGTCATCTTTGATCTATTACCTTTCAAAGAAGTGCCCTCTTCAGTTATGTGCAAACACGGAACTAAATGAACAGCAAGAATGGCTATGTTCCACGACAGTCACTGAACTTCCTAACAAACTGACTCTGGCTGCAGGGCAGAAGTACAAAGGAGACATTCACAATCTTTAAAGACAGGAGATGTCTGCACTGGAGAGCTTACTTCTGACTCACTCAGCTCCCTGTTTCCACTAAAGACAAACAGCTGGAATCACAGCAAAACAAAGCACTTAATATAGGGCAGGATCAGTACAGGCATGTGCCATCTTTTCACTTTCCTTGCACCGTGACGTTCTTTGCACAGGTCCTAGTTAAAACAGGAGCTAGCATCTTCACAAGCAGTGGTTTCACATACAAGGCAACACCACTCTCTCATGCAGTCTCTCCAGAGAAACCGGACTGGATCTTTGTCATACCTGGAATAAATACACATACTATGGCTCAGCCACTGGGATTTCAAATTCTGACTGATTGATTGGGTCCCTGACAAAATCTGCCTGTTCTTAAGAAACATCGCTACTTGGGTAGCATGGAAACCCAAATGAAGAACACTTCGCTACAAGGCAGATCATCCAGTGGCTGAAGCACTACAGCCATCTGCTGTCAAAGGACAAGCTTTCAAACAGTTTCTTGAACTTTACCTCTACAAGTTTTCAGCATTTGCTAGTGGCAGTAGCCAGACTATGCGTAGGGGTATCGAGCAACAAGTGGCAAGCATGTAGGTTCTGAATGTAATTGTGACAAATAACTTTTTCCATTTCTTCTCTGAACACTGAACTGACTTTGCTTTCAGTACAGGGTTTTTGCAGTTTGAACTTGCAGAAATTACCTGCAAGCCTGTCATCCAAATACTTGTGGTTCTTGCTGCAGCTTTGCACCTGGTTCGCAGGGGGGGACTGTAAACTTTTGGAAGAGTTTCTGTCAAAAAAAGATCATGGAATGAGGAGCTCTCATTTTGGACCAGTCATCTGAGAAGCAAGTCTGTCAAGGATAGGACTGTGCCTTGCCTTTCTGGGTGATGAAAGCCTTTAGGGATTATCTAGTTTGCTAATGCCCCCCAATATACTGGAAGCATCCAGCAGCCTGGATACATGTGATAGCTTGTATATATATGTTCATATACACAGATGAACCCTCTGCCCCAAACTATTCAGAAAGAACAAAAAGAAATGCCTGAAGCGTAACAAGTGGGGAAGGTGAGAGGGAAAATAGGGATATCGGCGCTCTCTGGAACTACATCTGGATTCAGACTTTTTGTTGGACAAATTCATAGAGAAGGTAGAGTAAATCAAATTCAATTTCATTAAATCCCCTTATCTATGCTCTTGGGCAATACAGTACCTGGATCCATCATCATCTCAGAACATTTACCCAGTGTCACACAGGCTTATCAATTTCTATGGAGTATTCATCAGTAGTTAACTCTGCTGATCAAAGGACCTTCCCATGTACCTTCACACCTGGCAGAAATGGACAGATGTAATTGAAGACAGCTCCATTCACTTTTATGCTAGATCTCTGAAGGCTGTGCATGCAGCTGCTTCATTTCCCTACCGTCTGTGCAAGTTGCAAACTCTCAAAGGGCTCAAATTTGTCATTTCATAAATGTGAGTCCTTTGGGAAACATTAAGTTGTTACACTTCCCAGCTCCTCTTTGATCTTCGATTCTGCATCTAGTTCTATGCAAATACAGACAATAAAGGTTTGCTAATGGTGCATAAGTCCTCCAGTGAAATGAGAACCTGAACAAAACAAGCAGGTTACTTAAGGGCAGTCCCCACTGGACCGATGCAACGTAGGTCGAGGACAGGAAAAATCTTAAGAAACTGCCTGAAACTGTAATGTCATTTTCACTCAGATCCTGTTTTCAGCCAGAATGATGATTAGTCATAGAACTGTTCTTTATTCTGCAGAGCCAAACAGCAGCAGCAGTGCCACATTCCACCTTTTACTAACCAGATCGCTGGGGACATTTTTCTAACCCAGCTATCAAAGGTGATTTATTCAGTATACTTTTCCAGACTGGACTTTTGAAACACACAAAACCCATTCAGAAGCTGCATTTGATACACAATGCTGGTGTCTGCCTTCTAAGAAGCCATCACATTGAAGTTCTGGAACCTATCTGCTTATTTTGGTCCTTTTCTTTAAAGGAAGAAATTAGAGCCCATTAACGCAGTTCTTATTTTTTCCATACCTCACCACATTAGCAACATTTGAGGAAATGGTCCAAAAAACAAAATTAATATTTGAGCTCATGAGACATGGAGAAAGTTGTCCTGCTTGAAAGATCCATGGCAATTGTATTCTTTTCCATCACAGCTCAAATCTCACAATCTTCAAAGGACAAGATGCTTTTTCAGGCCCACCTTTCTTGTAGGAGTTTGAAATAATGATGTCATAAATCACTAAAAGTACTTTAATCAGTTGGTAATGAATAGTATGAAATAATAGCTTAAAATGAATATGCCTTCTTTCCTTCTTCAAGAAAAAGTCTTAGAAATGCATTTAATAATAAAATATAAAAAGGAATGAGGAGAATTAGAAAAATTAAATACTGCTTTTATACTTTTTTTCTTTTTTTTAACTTCCCTGCTATTACAAATGGTTCTGAAGTAAAATCATTGCATAGGTAGGTATAGGTCTGTATTACTATAAAAATGCAGAAGCAGGATGCTGGGTTCAAATCCTTCCTAACATTGGCTCAGAATATCCCACGGCAGTCCCTGTGCTCATCATTGCCCCTGTGTCAGACAACATGTCTCTTACTGGGAGGCTGGGAAGCTCAGAGCATCAGTCTGTAAGGTACACTAAGACTCCTAGATAAAAGTTGTCAGGAAAAAAATTTATTATTATTTGCATTGGAGGGAATATGACTAGAACTAGGAGACAGCAAGTAAAAGCTGGCTTTCTTAGAGTTAAATACTGATTTTAATTTGCATCTACGTGCAAGCTGTAGCCTGTATTGTCCCTAAATCGGGCAGCAGAGTTAACTTCACTCATCACACAAAGCTCACTGAGGTACAGGGAACTGGAGGTCATTGCTCTCATGCTAGAGATTTCTCACAGTAACACTGCTCTGGTGCGGTTTCCGTTCTTCAAAACGTTCTTCATTTTTTTTAAAAGAGTAAGTTAATTCTTAAGCTGCACCCAGC